TGACAGGGTTGTCAATTGTGAACGTGATATTGTAATGATGACGGGAAGGGCCAGTGTGAATATGACCGACAGGGATGATTTCAGATAGCTGCATGAAATGGAAGGCTGTAGTCGGTATGCATATCCCCTGCCGCACCAGTGTCCGCCGAAGGATGCAGAATTATCGCTGTGTCAATCGGTGTATCACCAGCACGCGCTCGGGCGGCCTGTGAAACACCACTCGCTGGGGTGGGGGGTCAATTTGAACCCCTCAGATCTCAAGAACTACAGGAGCAAGAGATACCAAATTCACCGCGCGAATTAGTTGGTAAGTGAACTCACTTCTGTCAATATCTGAGGCCCATAGGTCATGACTGTCGGGTTAAATAAGGTCAAACAAGGTCAAACTCAGATTGGTGTCTTAAGTGTCCTCAGACCACCTCATACATCCGCCTTGAACATAAAAACCTGTATTAAGGAAGAGGTCACTGGTATTCCTTACAGGTAGTGACCTTGTCTGAGTTTAAGGGGGTCATAGTGGCTTACAAAATGCGGATTTCTTAATTTTTGAATTTGAATAAACGCTAAGGACTGCATTAAGTGGTACGTTCCCGGAAAGAAAGGGTTGATCCTGGACATTTTAGGTCGGTTACCTACCATGACCTCTAAAAAGCCCATGAAAGATGTATGTTGCGGTCCCAGCTATAACAAATTTAGGTGAGGACCAAAAGCTACCGCGCAAAGCAAGCCTCCAGTAAAAAAAAGAAGCAAGATTGGTTTCTTCAGTCTTACCTTCATACCTGAAGGTTAGCTGTTCATGTGAAGAAACCTGAGGGGCAGTCGGAATGGGGTAAAATATTTTCGCGTCTTGTGCCAGACTTTTCTTTTCTTGTTGCAGTTCCATAGCATGCTTTGTTTGTATTACATAAGCGTTCACACATTGCATTTCAAGCTTCTGGTATTTCCCTTTCGACTGTGAATGGACGTGCACTTGACCACTGTCTCAACTTTTTGTCGGTTGACCTAAGCTGTGTTACCATCGGTTGCCTGCAGGCCAACATATTTATGTGGGCGGCGTGTCGCACAACCAATGATGAAGTACAACCAGAAGGTCTACCCTGAAACTGGTTGTGAGCTGACTCATCTAAATTGCAAGGGAATCAAACCAAATGTAAAAGTTGGCCGCAGGCTCATTTACTCTCATCAACGGCATAACAAACCAGGAGCTTTGTTATATTCTGCTTCCCTTTTCTTATATGTGACATCTTTTCTGCACATCACTGAGTACCGCTGGCCGCCCCGAGCTTCAATATGTTGAGAGGGGCGTTCCACATAGAAGATATTGAGGCAAGCATTATAAATGATGGAAAAAAGCTCACTCGTAACTGCTGATAAGCTTTTAAGTGCAAAAGACCGCCCTTACTAGTACGTCTTCACTGTTGTAATAAATGCGTTCCTCAATACATCATCGTCTGATTAGACTCTATGACGTCAGAGTCGCTGCCGGACGAACTGTGTCGGGATTGCCGCAGTAGCAGACGGGGTGGTTCCCTCGTGGTGCTTCCGCGCGGCGTAATGTGTCGTTAGTCCTCAATGCGCGTAAATGTTTGCGTTCAAGCCCGTCTTTGACTTTTCTAGAGGTGTTTTGGTATGCATTCCAATGATGGTATATTCCTCACCTGCTTTAAATTTTCGGTTACGACGCTTTTCTTAAACTATGGGATTTTCAGCCTCATGTAAATCATGGCTAGTACTTCTGAATGCCTGCGCTATCGTAAAAACCCGGTTCGTGATCGGGACGTGCCATGGACAGCTCACTCTTGACTTTTGATCTGTGGCCTTCTATCGTTGGGACACTTGGTGCAAAATCACTGTAATCACTTATAGATCAGTGAACACATTTTTCTTTAACATGAGCGCATTTTAGCCAATGTGGTGGCGGTATTGCCGTGACTTTACCGTTTTACCGTGACTAAGCGTCATGCTAACTTCTGCCGTTCAGAATAGGCGCATAACAAACCAGAATGGGCCCTCCACAATCCCTCCAAGTTTGGGGGGAGGTGCACTCTCCCAGTCTTGGGGGGTGAGCTGCCCTCGCTACCCCCCTCCCCGGTTACCGCGTCCTTGCTCGGGTGCCAATACCCTCCCCTGAACGTGGCGTATGGCCCGGGAGGCGAAGGTGTTGTTCAAAATAAATGTGCTTGTGAAGCCCCGACTCGTTCTGATCCCGTTTCGTTTTATCTGCATGCCTACAGAACCCAGGTGTACCACCCATGCTACCTCCGTGCCCGAGATATGCGTATTTATTTTGTGCATCAATCCTGGATGTGCCGCAATAGGTCCTGGGCGCGCGGGTAAAACAACTTTCTACGTTGAGAACTTCGCTATACATTGTTGTCCGCGGTGGAATTTGTATATCTACTGGAATAAATGCACGCACGGCACCCCGGTTGATACGATCGTGCCTGGTGGCATCCGCCGTAGCTTGCGATTTCCTAATATCCCATCAGCGTTGCTTGTCTAACGCTGACGCTATTTTCGTTAGTTCTGTATCCGAACTTCCGTTTCCGTTTAACTTTTTGCCCGTTTCCAAACGGGTTATTGTTGACAAAAGCCAGCCTTGTGAGCAAGGCGAACGAGCTTTTGATTTAGGACTGACGCAAATATTCACTTGGTGTGGCACAAGTTGCTGTGGCTTTCTCCGCTCTTTCTCCTTCAGTATCTCTGGGGTGGAGGACCAACCATGAGGTGACCCGGAAATGCATTCATCAAACTGGAACTGGCGGATGGTTTCTTGTCAAGATGATTTCCTACTACCCACACCGAGGACGAATTAATTGCAATTATTTTATGATTATTTCATACTCTGACAAACTATTCAAGAAATCTGGCAGAGACAAACCAGCTGACATGACAATTCCACGCATAGCAAAATGCATTGTAAGGCTACCAGATTAGGACAATTTTCTTACGTGCGCCTATAATACCAAACTTACGCATCACAGCACCCTATCTACAAATGGCTTACGCCCGGCCCGCCTAGTATTTTTCAAGCCTGCATGATATAGTCAAAAGTTTGCAACGAAGCTGGGTACTGTGAGCACATTTTGTTTAGTTACTCTTGAAGTCCGATGAAAGGTGGGTTTTTGGTTCGGTTTCCACAGGTTCTGATTTGGGACTAGGTTGTGACTAAGTCCTGGTCTGGCACAAATTTGAGCTTGTATCATGAGTCATGTCAAGGTAAGGTGAGCGTGAGCTTAGCGATGCCTCTTAAGGTGCGGAATGGGACAGGGACGTGTCCAAATGTTGGTTTCCCCTGGTGCCTTACCCTCACCCTGATAGGGTGGGGGGGGGGGGTCGATGTGACCCCTAAGATTTGTTGAAGATACCTCTCTGGGTATCGTGCAGTTGCGCCCGAATTCTCGATAGTTTATGGGGTACTTATTGCGCCTCCTTCGATACCAAAAACGCGTCCCTAGCGTTTGTGGTTTCGGGGAAGGGGCGGTTTCTGAGGAACACTGCACGGCGATCCACGGCCGCCCGGTTGAGGGACGGGGGGGGGAGATGTGGCAACCAGCGATGCCGCGGGACACTCGCGGCGAGTCGACATTGTTACATTAACGAAGCTATACATCATAAACATATCGTCAAAACACGCAAAACTATGTACCATTGTTCTCATAATTGAACAAGGAAGCCGCCTGTTAAGGTTTCGTGTTGCCGCGAGGCAACACGAGACCTAAACCGTCATACACCGTTGTAAGTATGATGCAAACCTGAAATGTTGCGATTTAAAACATTCGTGATTTCACTTGATGCAGACAGTTTGCGGACGTTGGTTAGGTGCGTATACAATATGTTCACCTTTAAATGACCAGTGACTCGAACGGCTTGGTACGCAAACGTCGTTAAGCTAAGTGAAGACGTGCAATAGACGAGCTTCATGCATGTAGTTGTGTTAGGAGTGAAGGAAGCATCTTTTGAAATGGTACTCCAGCTGGATCTTGTTTTAGTTTGACAGATTCCGCTTGGCTCTGCCAGGTTATGTGCTATGCTGTGCTGTGCTGTGCTGTGCTGTGCTGTGCTTTGGTGTCTGTCCTCCTCTCTGTCATCTCCGTTTTGATCTGTTCTGTTATCTCCAGGCCCTGTCGTGTGCACCTAGAGTATATCTCATACAAAAAACACCTGAACTCCATCAGCCCTCAACCCTTTTAACCCTTAGCGCTCCGTTCAGCCCTGTCTTCCTGTCGCCTCCGGTCTTGCGCTATCATCTGCTCCCCCGCCCTGTGCCATTATCTCCTGCCCTGTCTTCCCGTCGCCTCCGGTCTTGCGCTATCATCTGCTCCCCCGCCCTGTGCCATTATCTCCTGCCCTGTCTTCCCGTCGCCTCCGGTCTTGCGCTATCATCTGCTCCCCCGCCCTGTGCCATTATCTCCTGCCCTGTCTTCCCGTCGCCTCCGGTCTTGCGCTATCATCTGCTCCCCCGCCCTGTGCCATTATCTCCTGCCCTGTCTTCTGTCGCCTCCGGTCTTGCGCTATCACCTGCTCCCCCGCCCTGTGCCATTATCTCCTGCCCTGTCTTCTGTCCTGCGTTCTTCTACGCTGTGCATTTTCACCCCGACCTACTTGCTGATCTGTCCTGTCCTGGTCTGCATTGTTCTGTGGCCTCCTGCCTCTCCCTCCCCCGGTACCGTCTTCTGCCCCGTCACATCATGCCCGGTTGTAGCGGACCCTCTGTGGAGGCTAGGGAGGGCCGTTGTAACTTTCTCCTTTCGTGAGTGTGCTGCCGCCATGATCAGTGTTACACGGATTTGGCAGAGAGTGACTGCATCCTGCCCTCTTTAAGTCCGCCGCCCCCGGCCATGTCCTGCCAAGTTCCAGCTCTGGCCCCAGTGCCAGCCCCAGCCTGAGCCCCAGCCCAAGCTGCAACCTCAGTGCCAGCCTCAGTCCCATTTCCAGTCCCAGTCCCAGTTCCAATCCCAGTTCCAGTCCCAGCCCCAACCCTAATCCCAGCCACAGTCTCAGCCCAAGCCCAGCCTCAATGCCAGCCCTAGTCTTAGCCCCAATCCCAGTGCCAAGCCCAGCCCCAGTCCCAGTCCTAGGCCCAGACCCAGGCCAAGACCCAGCCGCAGTGCCAGTCGCAGTCCCAGGCCTAGGCCCAGCCGCAGTACTAGGTCCAGGCCCAGCCACAGTCCCAGGCCCACGCCCAGCCACAGTCCCAGGTCCACGCCCAGCCGCAGTCCAAGTCCCAGACCCAGGCACAGCCGTAGTACTAGGTCCGGGCCCAGCCGCAGTCCCAGGCCATGCCCAGCCGCAATCTCACGCCCAGGCCCAGGCCAAGCCGCAGTTCCTAGCCCAGGCCCAATCGCAGTCCCAGGCACAGGCCCAGTCACAGTCTCAGACCCAGGCTCAGTCGCAGTCCCAGGCTCAGTCCCAGGCTCAAGCCCAGCCGCAGTTCCGCGTCCAGGCCCAGCCGCAGTACCAGGCCCAGGCCCAGCCGAAAACGCAGCCGTGCCATAGCCCCAGCCCAGCACTGCCTAGCGCCCGCTGATCATGTTACGCATGCAAACGACCGTGATATAGCCAGGTGGTATTTGGTTGCAGCGACGCGAGAGGTATGTTAAAGTTGGCGGACCCAAAATGCTAAAATGGACCCTTTAAGATCACATAATGGGCCGCTACAGACAAGAGTGGGCCCTCTAAAGGTCAAGATGGAGTTGATTTCTCGGCAATAAATAATGGACCTTCTGCGGGTTATAATGGCTTACCTACATGTCAAAACGGGTCCTGATAAGACCAGAATAGACCCTGGCCCTGATAAGACCAGAATAGACCCTCTAAGTGCCAGAACAGACCCTCTAAATGCCAGACTAGACCCTCTAAATGCCAGACTAGACCCTCTAAATGCCAGAATGGGCCCTGTACGGACCAGAATGGGCCTGTATCAATAATGGGACGTTTTCAGATCGAAATGGGTCTCTACAAGCCAGAATAGACATTTACAGGCCAGCATGGTCCATCTGCAGGCTCAGAATTGCTCTCGTTTAGTCAGCAAGGACAGTAAGAAGACCAGAATTAGCCCCCAACGGGCTAGAATGAACTTTTGCAATCCAAAATCCTCTCCCACAGCTTTCAAGTTGGGGGGCAGCTGACCCACTCTTTACCCTCCCCCCCCCCCCCCCGTTACCGCGTCCTTGTTTAGGTTTCGTCTCCCTTCTCTGCAGGTGGCGTATGCTCCGGGAGCCGAAAGTGTTCAAAATCAATTTGCGTTGTTTATTTTATGAAGCCACGACTCGTTTCGGTCCCGTTGCGTTTTACTTGCGTGTCTACAGTACTCAGATGTGTCACCCAAGTCGCTTCCATCCTAAATATGCGTAATTATTTTGTGTACCAATTATGTGTGCACAGCACCAGGTTCTGGAGAGGGCGGGGGGGGGGGGGCGCAGGTCACAAACTCTGTACTTGGGTAGCTTGCAGCACATTTTTGCCTGCAGTGGAAGTTTCATACGCGCCGGAATAAACACGCATCCGAAACAAATTTGTGAACTGAGGTAGGATCCCTCTAAGCCTTCCGTGCCTTTTCTGACGCGGCGATGCTAGTCATGACAAGCATAAACAGCTGAAGCAAATTTGCGTTTGGGCACACTATAACGTACCAACAGCATCGAACGGTGTTGGAGTAATGCGTGCGTTCGTCTATTTTGTGTAATTTGCGACATTTGCGACATGCTACATTCACTTGAGGTTCCTACCCGTATTTTAATAACTTAAACTTATAATCAATCCTGTTTATGAATGACCTAGCCTTGGATGTCATCGCCGTGTTAGGATTAACCACAACCAGCAAAATGAGATTTGCTGACGAGTCATGACAGCATCGACTCATACGCGTGCTGAGGACACTGTGGGAAAATGCAGAGAAGCTTGGTAGCTTGGTGCCACTTATGTTCGAATCCTTATCACTTGCCACCGGCGTCAAAAAATGAAAACTATGTTACAAGGCTCCAGAAAACCATTTTCTGATTGTATCTCGATTACTGAATACAAGCTAATGTTCGAAGGATCTGACTTTGTCTTGGTTTTGGATTTGTAATACAAAGATATTTCTACATGCACAGCTTTTAGGTAGCATTGTTGGCTTGCACCCTGTCGATGGCATGCGCATTTGAAGTGAGCATTTGGGTGAATGACTGCATACGGAATCAGGCCCCGCTGAAGAAATAACAACCTGGATATTAGTACAGACATTACTGAATTTATCAAATTAATCTGGCTTACTCCACGACATTTGGAAATGTTCTGCCCTTCCTCCATAAATATTGTGGTACCTTGCGTTTCCCAGTAGGGAAAGCGCTCACAAATTGCCCTATAACGAAATGTTCATTGAAAAGGTTGAAAATGTAGCTTTGATTCAGATTTTCATTCCACCCTACGTCGAATCATGAGAAGAAAATGCATTCGCTTTTGATCCTGAATCAATTGTGCACAAATTAATTACGATTCCGTCTGATTAATCCAAATCTGGCGTGCTTCTTAAGTTGATTTCGATTCAGCTGTTGCAGAGACATGTAGTAGACGTAACCAACCGTGTTAAACATTCTGAGCGACGAGACAGGCAGTTACTAATGAAACAAATCAGTACACGGAGAAAGGCACAGCATCTTTGCGAAATCAACTGCGACATATCTGAAGCCTGTCGACCTTACCACAGCTTGTGATCTATTCTAACTTCCTTGTTGCGCGCAGTTATAAAATAGACAGCAGGTAGTCGTAAATACGCATGTATCGTGTGTAGCACTCAAATCTGATCACCGGCATCAACTGGACTAACTGGAAGTCATGTCGGCATCCAGATCAAACTTATGTCCCATATTTCACACGTACAAGGTGTGAGCACCCCGCTGGACTTTTGAGATAGCATACGGGCACCAGCGACCCGCTGACGCCGCACCCACACTGCTGGGTCTCAGATTCCGGACACGCCCTGCGGTGCAGTGCCATCGGCGTGCGCGATGCGAATGATGTGCCATCTCGGCGCAGACTGCCGCATGCTGCTCTAGAAGATGGACTTCATGATGGCGCAGGCGAAGATCATGGAGAGCAGCAAGAAGACGGCCACGGCTATCGTGATGCCTCCGAACAGCGTGCTGTTTTCCGAGATGAACTCTCTCATCTCCTGTACGCAACCCTTCTCGTAGGAGTTGCTGCTCGCGTCGCAACTGATGCGATTGCCGTTGCTGTCCTTCTTGCAGCAGGAGGGTGGCACCCGATTGTTGCCCATCACAGCCGCCCAGTCGGAGCGCTGGTCCACGCCGCAGCACTGGAACTGCACCGGCACGGGATCAGGGCGCGGCCGCCGGCACCTGCCACCTACCCGGATCGGACAGACCGCTCAGGAGCCCAACGCCCAGCCGCACTCTTGACACAGCTCTGGCTGTGTGACGCAGAGTCATGCTGGCCCGGCATAGCACAGCATCCAACATATCACTGTCTACTGCACGTACACCGTCCACCGCACGTACACTGGCGTGCACTGTCTACCGCACGTACACTGCACGCACACTGGGTACCGCCGATGTGCACAGCTGCGGTGCCCACACACATGCATGCTTTAATGATTTCCATGAATGTTGCGGTTTTACACAAACTAAACCTCAACTGATGTTAATGTGAAAAAGAAATAAAATGTTTATCATTTGTCGCTGGGTACTATCGAGAAGTGTAACAAATTCATTAAAAATACGTACCAAACAGTGTATTTTTCCGAAATATGCCAAATCCATTAAAAAAACGCACCATACAGTCACGTTGATGGCCCGATGCACACATAACAAACACATGCTGTCACTGCGTTCTAAAAAAGACATTCGAAAAATAATTGACACAGGTTCTCTCGTTTTTCAACTTACGTTCTCCTGGAGGAAGTCCCAGGAGTTCCGCACGGCGTCGTCCGAGTTGTACTTGTTCATGGATTCCTTCATGGACGTGCTGATTTTATTCACCAACTTGTCGCCGCCCAGCACGAATCCGGCTATCGCGCCGGCACCGACCAACACGAACAGGATCAGCACCAGGCAGAAGAACGTACCCAACAGGCACTTACTCTCCTGAAACAGGCCCGAACGGAGGGTCAGCAAAGCACGAGACGACAAATCGGGCCAAACGCGCGGATAGCACTCTCAAACATTAGTGCCCAGAGTCCGGCACGGTAGTTCCGTTCCCATCTTCGGAGACGTTCGGTTTCAGCTTCAGTGCAAAGTCCCTGTGACCTCGGGCTAACCATACGCAACCGCATCTATGTCAAAATATATCGTTTTTTTCAAATAGTGCACGCTGGGGTAGTGCCAGTGGACAGCGAATGGGCCGTTCTTGCAAGATGGAGCACGAGTGAACGCAAGCATTGCTGTCGATATCATGAAAAAAACTTTCGCCATGTGTGTTCGGGTAGAGTGTACGTCCCAAAAACGACCTATACAGCCACCTTGATAACCTGGTGCGCAAATTACAAAGACCTCTTGTTACTGGCTTCCAAGACAAATCGAAAAAATAGACGCACTGGTTCTACCATTCCGTAACTTACGTTCTCTTGGAGGAAGTCCCAGGGTAGACCTAGTTAGTTCGTGCACTAGTATGTGCTCTTGAACTCTGTTGGCTCCAGTTCTGGTTCCCAACCTTAATTCCGCCGGCTAGTTGTTTTTGTACTGTCCAATTCTCATACAGCGAGTCGTACAAAGACTGAGTGATCGAAAACATGCCACAAAGCTCGAACAACGATGAGTATAGTGTGCCCACAAAAATCCCTTCTGATCGTTTCTACACAACAAAACATGTGACTTTCAGAATCCATGTAATGGGCATAACCACCACTGAAATACAATAGACCATTCATCCCGAAGTCCTTTTACCCAACATTGTCCAATTGTTTAAATGCGGTTAGTCACGGTTAACACTACTCTTGGGTTGCAGAAGACTTGCTTGGGAGCCTCAATTGTCTTGTTTCAGGAGACCCCTCCGTTTCTCTCCATTTCTGGTTTATTAATGTTAAACGTTGCGCCGACCACATTGGTCGTTTAGCGCCCATATGGACTTCCCTCCTGATAAATGAATAAAAATGCATTGTAGGTTAAGGTAACAAATGACCCCGCTCTCCCAATAACTCTTTCATGGATACGCATTGAAGCAAAAATACTGAATTCACGGTGTGTAGTAACCTGTTTACTCGCGTCTACACATTTTGCAACAGACTAAGGGGTAAATATATAATCAGGTGGGGTAATTAGTCGTATTGATCTTCCTACGCAACGATTTCACACAGGTCTCGAACTTCCTGGATGCAGCAGGCTGGCTTCGAACGGCGTCTGGACGCTAAACTACATCAATATTTGGCCCAGTAATCCACCCTCATGGCGTCATGGGCTGCTCTGGTCAGTCCAACGGCTAAACTGAGCTGCATGCAGGCCAGCCCTCAGTTGCAGGGTAAATACGCAAGCATGACACTGCAGCCCGCTTTTGGGTGTATTCGCAGCGATCCGGATAGCAAAGAATGCATTCCTTGACGTCATCCATGACGTCATACCCCATAAATTCTGCACCTTTTGGTGTTCGCAGCGACCCGGGCGATCACGATTTCCGTGGTGTCAGGTGAGTGTCGGATGCGCAGAACCTTTGTCCGCGACTTGATCGAAGTGATACGGAAACGGCACAACATGCCCAGTTGCAAACAAGTCACTGCGTGCCCAGGACCAACCACGGGTGATGAAAAGTATGTTGACCATGCAATCAGCATAATCTGCAGTTTTCGTTGTTAGGAGTACGCATGTGTGTAGTTTCTGCAATCGAAAACCTTGTGTCCGTATGCGCCGTTATTGTCACGACAGGTTACGAATATGGCTACCGAAAACGTGTCGCGCTGCGAACATGTTCAGCAAAGATTCAAAGTGACTCCAAACATAAAAATTGTTGCGCTACGAACACACGCTTTGTTCCGCCCGACTCGGTGGATGGTCCTGCTCCAGCCACCCCGCCCATTTATTGTTACTTCTCCCCCTCTACCTCTCATTGCATTATGTCACGAAGGCTGTATTACTATGGGGCTAACAACAAAATTCGGAGCACAAACGGTATCGCTTCTACTACAGCGCCCATGACCATTCAACACTCCATGCTTCCCGTGTTTACCACAAAATTACCTGGGAGTCATGCATACACACAATGCGCAAACAGTCACCTTTGAAATTAATCTGAACAGCCACCAACCATTATACCCTCAACGACACGTCATTTATTCCCCAGCGACCGACACGCATACCTAACGCCTTAATGCCAATTCTTTCCATGGTCGGGGCATTCGCATTGGCGAAGTCATTCACAAATAAGTACAACTGAAACCAGCCATGTTTCAATTGTTCGCGACCGCAAAAAGCCAACATCAGCTGATGTGGTCACCCAGAGGCGCACGAGTAACTGGTGCGGTGCGCTCCCGGCACCGTGCCAGCCAATGGGGGCAGAGCTGCTTTGGTGCCAGGTCCAAAAATAGGCCCTACCACGCAGCCGTCGTGGGCGGCGGCCTCCGTTGTAGTTTTTCGGTTAGTCACCTGTTCAGCGGGAAAACTGATGACAATGTTTCCCTGTTGCGCCAGCGTGAAGCAAAACCCGGACTAAAATTGCGATCGGCGGCGCAGATATGGCCAAACTCGTCGCTTCCTGCAAACCGCAGTGGTGACCTTTCAGGGTAGCCGAGCCAAAACGGGGCCGTGTGGCACGGGACCCCGCGGCTGTCACGAGCGGCTGCCACAGCGGCGCGTGGCGGAGGCCGCAAGTGGAGCATGGCTGACCGGCCTAGCATACAAGCTCTACCGTACCAAGGTGAATCCAAGGACGACAGCCTTGAACACCACGGGTAATTGATGGAGCAGGTTTTGCGTGGTTTACTCTTTAAATTGGGCTGATGACAGCATTAGACAATAGACAGAGGTCGCGTATATGCCTGTAGGATGCCATGATAATTATACGAAATCATGAGCTCACGTATTAGTGTCACGGATACACGTCTAGTGCTATGTACAAGCACACATAATATGTACGCATTGCAACACAAACGGCGTGAAACTATTTGTGCCAGACGAGAACGATATTCTGAACATCTGAGTAATTCCATCAGTAAAACAGTGTGAGCTCATAAGCTTCATGGCTTTACTGGTCGTAGCACGGCATACAGACAGTGTAGAGAAATTAAAGAATGCAAACTGCATACTGGAAGCTGACGCGAGGACAGTACAAAATAAGGACGCTCTGTCCATCTCCCCGCCGAGCCGAATTTCGCCACCAGCTGGCGCCAGAGCTGGTCTCGCTGCGCCACCATGAGTCATACGTCGCAGGAGGGTTCGTGACAATCGACGAGGTCAGGCCTGACGGGGCGGTCTAGGGTGACGGGGCGTCCCAGAGTGACGCGGTCGCCCACCATCCCCCCTCCCCCCCCCCCCGACATCCGGCCCCAGAACACCAACAAATACGTCATGCGGCCTCTGACTTGCCGAGCAGCCCAACACAGCCCGCACGCGCCCGGCCTGCATCGCACGCCGGCCGAGGCTGCCAACGCGGCCAAAATGCACTGCAAGGCGGACATTTGCACTACTAGGCATAGCCGAATGATCCTTCGTCCAAGTCCCCACTGAGCAGGTCCGCGCTAAATTTAGAACCCGGCAAATGAAAGCTGGCGGTCCAGGGCTACAGCTTCGTGCCACGGTAGCCCGGCCCTCGAACCCGACTGGCTTGATCACGGATTCCCCACGAATTTGCCTTCATATCGTCAATAACAAAACATATCTCATGGCAGAATTCGTTTGAAATACCAAGCATTTTCATTGGCCCAATCCACCACCATCCCAGCCAGCGTCGTCTAAAAGGCTGCTCCGCAGACCAACGGAAGTTAGTTGAGCCAAAATTTGCACTGAATTTCTGGGCATAGTGTAACTGGTCGTAACACTCATTGAACTGAGTTTAGGGCACGTGAATCCAATACCGGTAGGATTCGGTTGACCAAACTGAATTTGATCTGTTCGCCCCGGGGAAGGTGATGGTGAACAGTTGATACAGCGTCGTTCACCCACAGTTCGAGCTCATACTCAATAGCTTCAGCAGCAGTCCTGACCATTCTGGCATGACTGTTGGAGATGAATGATATAATATGAACTCTTTCGGTCCAATGTGGTAGAGCACTCCAACATGACGGCCAACGGACCTCACATCTTGTTGGCAAACAAGAAACTGGGTAACACCTGGAAATGAACAGGGTGCGATGGGGCGTTCCACCATCTGCAGCTTGGTTGCTACATCCTAAATCCAAAACGACTAGTTTTGAAACACAAAATTCGCAAAAGAACCACTGCGGTGTTGCATCAGTGAGGTGCTCAGATACTTTGTCCTGCAGATGGCGACAGCGCTGCAGTTGCCGACCGCGCTGGAGCGCGGGCTCCGCAGCGAGCATACACACCTGGAAGGCGCCACAGCAGCCGAGGAAGCTGATGAACACGATCAGGCCTCCTGCCACTGTGATGACGATCGCCACGCCCGTGTACATGTCGAAGTCGAGCAGGTTGTTCAGCTGCGCATTGTCGCCGACGAGGGCCGTGATGCCGACCCCGAGCAGCACGCCGCCGCAGATCAGGATCACCAGGTTGACGAACCCGAAGGTGTACTTCAGGCAGTTGCCGCATCCGTCCATGGCCATGGTTGCTTCGCTGGTGGCGGGCTCGTCACGCAGGGTACTCCGAAGCCGACTGCGACAAGCCTGGACTGCTGGCCGGGGCGACTGCTAGCTATCAACTGCGGCCGACGCGTTATCACGGGATGTGGTCGCCGAGCGAGCGTGACTCACAGTTGCAGGGCCGAGCCGAGCGCGTTACCCCTCTGCTGGTGCCTCGGCACAACTGGCAGCTCCCGGATGTCGCTACACGGCCGTTGTCCTGAACGGCCGCCCCGGGTTGGCACCCGCTCGCACAGGCGGCTTAAATGCTGGCGTCGCGTTCAAGGTTACACGTTCCACGGTGGCGGAGACTGTGCAGCTGAAAACGATTCGAGGACCACTGAGAATGCGGACAGTGTTAGACGCGATGGCTGTGCGGCCAGGCGGAGTACAGAGGGAAGTGGGTGCTCTACATGTCAAGTATGTACAGCTGTTGCTCCGTGGAGGTACAGCCAAAAACTGTCAGGGCCTCCCAAAGTCGGACCACCATACCCAGTAATCGCCATATGAAATCGTTGTGATGCGAAATCATTGAGTACCACTGCGAGCTGCAATGCAAGGGTGTTCTGTCTGATAACATCTCAGGTCCGCAGGCGTTCATCTGATCCTCATATGCTGCCTTCCTCTGAGAACCAGTGGCACTTCCTCAGCTGTACCAGCCAAAAGTGCAGCGAGGATTGGAACAGTATGAGAGCCACTGACACTCCGTGGTGGTGTTCAGCTCGAACTAACATCGGGCCTCCGTCAGGGGCGGCTCCAGGGGCGGCTTATGTAGAGAAAGGGCAAGTTCCAGGTTCAACATCTGGGATAGGCTACTGTCTGAAAACCAAGTCGAAAGAGTTCTCCCGTTTTTGCCCTTAATCAGAGCCGGCATGGTCCGTCCCCCTGCCCCACCTGCCAGCGGCCCCTGCCACCATAGATGCAGATCCAGTGTCCTAGAATTGCCGACTTTGGGTGTAAAGCATCACCCTATGAGGAGGAATTTTTCACTCCTTTTCCCCATATTTTATGTGAATTTTTCACTCCTGCTTGACATTGTCTAGTCGTACATGCCAAACCCCTATTTCCCTTTCTGAGGTTTTCAGATGTCATCCAAAACCGAGCTCACTTGAAACCACCAAGCATAAACGAGGCTTCGCAGAACCTGGACATCTAAGGCTATGTCGTGTCTCACCTACACCTGAATCATGTCTATGTGTGCACAGAGCAAGGGCACCAGGTACCTCCAAGCCCAAGAACCCCAGCGACCCCATCCGCTTGCACGTATTACGTTTGGCTTGTTTACAAAATGCATCACAATCTGCAGCTATGCGCCAAATGCAAGGTTTTCACGCATCCCTTATTGGTGGTTTCACCACCACACCACGAAAGCAGAGCCTGGAACAAACACCAGCAAGGCCTGGTAGAGAATGGTACTCTACGTACTTCTTTTTTCCTAAGGAAACTTGACCACTAAATTGCATCGCCCCCGAAATGCATGAGTGAAAAGTTCAAGAAATGTCTTTAAATTAACATTATGAGATGAATATCACCATTTGAGCACTTATATTAACAAATTTTAAGCAAAATCAGCTGATTACGAAATTTTACGAGAAAAGTACCAGTATTTCTGTTTATTTAGCTACTTATGCTTTTCTTGGTATCAAACCAGTGTAATGCCACTTTATTCTTTCCTCCTTTTCGATTGTCTTTAGAGGTACCACTTGCTGCTTAAGATGTTGGCCAATTTCTCTGCAAGATGCTCCAACTGCAAGCTTGTACGTATTTCATACATAAACTGGATTAATTCGCCAGCCGCCCAAACATGTTTGATGTACACCCAAGCGTGAGCAATTCACAGGGAATGAAGGAGACGATTTGAAGCACGGAACTTATTTTTTAACGCCATGTTTGCCCTCTTAAACCTTCGGTTAACCGTTTTCTTGGTTCATGGCGGCGCCCAATAAGGATGCATCCAAGCTTTTCGAGTGTCTGACTTGCCAGGCTATCTGGCAAGGCTTAGAATGGCCTTGCCGAATGCTGCCTCTATATGGCAGCATTAAAATATGCTACCACATAGATCCTTGAAACAGATCTGACGCAGCTAATACAGAAGTGCTTGAGGGCCAAATTCTGCTCTCTGGAGATGTTTATCATGCGCACCCCTTGCTTGTTTCAGATTTTAATCTCTTTAATCCCTTTTCGGAGTTTAATCTCTTTAACGACTGTCTGCCAGCAGACCATACAAAAGGTACTGAATTTTTTTTGTTTTTTTGGGGGGGGGGGGGCAGGAAGAAGCCGGCAAGTCTCCTGTGGACCAAGTAATTGCTTACCTTACCTGCTTTCAACACATGATTGGTAACCAGAGCCATTTTCTGTTTTAATGCATCGAGTTTTGCCATAAGATAAATTATGATGCCACAAGGCATGCAATGGGCTTATTTTGTTCCATGTTCTTGGTTATTTGCCCCAAATTTCTTAAAGTGGTCCCTCATGGCTGCTTTAACCAGATGTTTGCTATAGTTGTCATGGTTTGCTGACCGGCAAATGACTGTACTGTCTATATGCGCTATATTTTTACACAGGGATACTCTAGGCTGCTTAGGAATTATAACATGAGTTAAATATTGATATGTAATAAATAGTCAGACCACTCCATTTAGAACGTGAACCCAACATCTCAAACTTTGTCATTAAATATGAATAAAGAAGCCCAAATGGATGCATTTGCTGCAGCTGAAAAGGCAAGCAGCAGTACTGGCATGGCCATCTAAAAGTTATGTTATTTTTGGAGAAGAGGCTGTTTTGTGTACCATACCCATTATTGCCCTTGACACAGGCTAACCATGACACTCAAAATAAGTTGTTCAAAGTGATTTCAAGTGTTTTGATTTGCATGTTGTCAACTTTGTCCGATGTCAACAAGCATGCACAAATGAACTGAATAAAAATGCGAGTTGAAATCAGCCAAGAACTAGCTTTAAATATTATGTTTTTATCACAAGTGCCGCTGTCAACAGATACGTGAGTTGAGATGATGTTCATCATATGGACTACTCTAAGTTAGGTTAAGTTGGTCAATTGCATGACAGGTGGCAATAGGAACTGTTCAAGAATCAGTAACTCACAACTGCTGTTGTGATGCAAATTGGTTATACAGGATGAGATGATGTAAGGCCTCTTTAGGTTAGGCGTAGGCTACTTCCACGGAAATAAGCATTGGTATTTTGTGAGAAACAGTGACAAAATGTTTGTTTTCCCTGACCCCACCTTAACAGAAGCCAGAAGTATGTCTATTGTGTTTGACTTGGTGATGGGCTGATGTGTAGGAGTCCAATGTTTTTTTGTTTGAGCGTTTTATGCTTGTTGAATTTTCTGTTATATTGTTACTGAATTCCTTTGCTTTGTTTTGTTTTAAAAGTGTTGTGGAAGGGAATTGAAAAGTGCGGCATCAAATTATTGGTGTTAGTAATTTGTTATGCTCATAATACTGTCATGAAATTATTATGTTTTAACACGCGCCCGGTTGGCCGGCTAGACACCCTTCGCTCGGGTGTGGGGGGTCAATTTGAACCCCCCTCTGATATCTCGTGAACTAAGAAAGCTAGAGACACCAAATGTACAGGGTGTCTTGACCTCTACGCGAACTCACTTGGGTTAAGGTTTCGGCTTCCTAGGTCATGACCTTCAGATCGAATAAGGTTATACAGTTACAAGGTCAAACTTCAGGTTGGTCTCCAAAGCGCCTCCAGAACCTAGGCAACTGTCTCTAAGCAAAAGGTCACAAGCCCATTTGAGGTCATTGACCTTGTTTGACCCTTTGAATGTCATGGTGACCAAAATGATGCAAGACTGCTCTGCGTTTTCATTTGAATAAGCGGCAAAGATTACCCTAGGCAATATGTTCCTAAAACAAAATGTTCGACCCGGGTCGTCTTAGGTCAATGGCCTGTTCTGATCTCTAAGAAGTCAATTGAAAATGTATAATGCAGTTCCTGCTGTCAATAAATTCAAAATGAGCACCAGAAACTATCCCATACAGCAAGCCCTTTGAGTAATAAATCAGGTTGGTTTTGAAATTGGTCTGACCATCATACCTGACCTTAGGTCAACGTAATTTGCTCATTCAATATTTGCGGTGCTTAAGAAAGCATCTCAGATATGTATGTCTTCGTCAGACACTCCGTTGTCGTATCAGATTGAACGATTCCCTAGAAACTGCCTTCGCTGAAACCATGGGCTGACTTTGACCTGTCATAGGTCAGTGACCTTACAAGGTACATCTAAAATTGTATGTCAAACGATCCGCTATGCAATTTTCTACAGCCATGCAAAATGTGGCGCGGCTACGCCGCGCCGTTCAAAAACCATTCGGGAAAAGCCCTCGGGGGAGGGGGTCAATTTGCCCCCCCCCCCCCCCACCCGAGCGCATGTTAATGTATTCTGTTTCACTTGAATGGCCTAAGGTGTTAAAAAACCAAATAGCTTTGTCAGTTCTCTGATATTACGTCCATGTCAACTTGAAATACATGTCTTCATTTGCTGAAGCATCCGTCACGAGCTCATAAGTTCCGTCTTTTGTGAATTGATTTTTTCACTCCCGTACGGTCTTTTTGCGATGGAATTTTTCACTCCCACCCTAGTTCAAAAGCGATTCTAGCTCCCTGGCAGATCTAGTGACGAGCGACTGCGGACTGCGGCAGACGGGGAACACCTGGGGCCCCGACCGCTGACAGCCAGGTGTGGCGAGCTGGTACATACATGTGGTGCGGCCTTTACGTAAGGTGTCGCTACCGGGCCGGCGATGCATGCATGCTCCGTGTCATACCACGGCGACTTCGATTTCAGATACACAGTCATATTTAACACTGCCAGGCGTGCGGTTTCTGGCTCATGGCATGAACTCATGTATTCCCTGAAACCATGGCCACGGGCAGTCTGTACTTAGAGCTCTCTACCTATTTCAAATTAGTCATAGTGCTGTCAACTAGTTTTGCTGCGCTGAGAGACCATGACCAGCAATGTTCACGAGAATGTCCTTTCCTTCGTATAGGATTTATAAGGTTGGAGACAGCAACCAAAGGCATGTATAATTATTCCTTCTTTTGGTACTGATGTGTACGGTGCACCGATTCCGAAGATAAGAAAACTTCTTGCTATACCAAGCAATCACCATTCAAATCCATGGCATCTTCACCCGATTTGTATTCGTCAATTCAAGTTTATGTTTCCCATGCACATGAAGTTCTTTGCAATTTCGTAAGAA